CCCTGCTCAGCATCCCCTGAGCCACATCCAAGGCACGAGGCTGTGCTGCTGCACGGGAGGAGGTCACCCACCCTGGAGCAGGCAGTGGCTCCACAGAAACTGCAGGGAGTGATTTTGAACTGGCATCAAACGCACCGGGTTCTCCTTGTCAATGTTGATCTCAGGCTCCAGGATGGTCATGGAAGGGCACTGCTCCACTCCTTCACTCACACTTGCCCAGAAGTTGGTCCCTGTGAAGTTGGTGCACTCGTGCTGCAGAGAACATCTGCAAAAAACAGAGGAACAGCTCATATTGATGGGTTTTGAAACAGGTGATAAAAATGTTGAATTCCTTGTGAGGGAAACTCCCGAGAAAATCTTGTGCTGTATCTTTCTCCTTCACCCAAGCAGCTAAGCCTTAACGTTTGCTGCTGTTTAAAGTGTCTGCTTGCCATGATAAAAACATGTACTCCTACAGCCCCAGTGGAGCAGCAGGATTGAGGAAGGAGGAAAAGGCCAGGCTGAACCCAAGCTCAGGAGGAGAGGATGACATTTTGTCCAACATTTTCAGTTTTCAAATGTGGAATCTAATTTTGGATATCCCCTTTTGCATGTGATTGTCTTCTACTGATAGATGAGATCTGCAGGGGCAAAAGATGGACTTTGACAGAGTGTGGGTTCTCCCAGTCCCAAGGTTTGACACCTGCAAGAGATTCTTTGTCTGGCAGCTGCCTGTGCCATGACAATGCAGCTATGGTGAAATCTTGGCTCTGAAGAGCATCCCAACCCATCCTAACCCTTTGGGTCAGATGCAATTGTTTCTAACAGCATGGATTTTTTAAGGAATGGAAAAAGACTGTTGGTAATGTGCCTGTGGGGAAATACAAAAGGCACCAGAAATTCTAGCACAGGCTTGAGGGCCAAAGGATTCCCTGAAGGGCAGTGGGACACTGAAGGGCTGGTCCTACCTGGTCTCCATCGTGCACCACCCACAGTAGGCATCAGCAGCAGCCAGGCACTCCCTGCACGTCGAGTACTGGCTGCAGGCAGCCACCTTCACCCGGGTCATCTGCACAACAACAGCACAGCTGCTTCCAGAGGTGTCCCAGGCCCCCAGGAGCACCCACCCCAGCGTGGCCTCCTGCAGCTGGAGACAAGGCACCAGCACCTCGGGCTGGGACACCCTTACCCTGGAGTAAAGTCACCCAGCACGCCACAGGAGCAGCCCCTGGCACAGCCTGGAGCCTGGAGCTGTGCCACAGCCACCCAGCATGGGGACGAGCCCAGGCAGCCACCTGCTGCCCACTGGGGGCTCCTGGAGCCTGTCCAAGCCCGGGGCTGTGAGCCCGGGACAGAAAAGGTGCCCTAGGGCTCAGGGATCCACAGGGTTTGCAGGCAGCTGGGCTGAGCTGAGCTGGCTGGGCTGAGCTGAGCTAGGCTGGGCTGAGCTGAGCTAGGCTGGGCTGAGCTAGGCTGGGCTGAGCTGAGCTAGGCTGGGCTGAGCTGCTCCTTTTCAGCTGGTGCCATGGAGGGAGCCATGTGATGACCAGGGTAAGAGTGTGACACTGCACCTTTCAGAGGTGTCAGATGGACAGAACTTCACAGTTTGTCCCTCTCTGTGAAAAGCTCTCACCCAAACCTGCAGAAATCTCCTCTCCAGACAGAGCCCAGCACTCTGGCTGTATACACAAAGATCAGAAAGCAGCACCACTCTAGAAACCTTGATTTGTAAAAAAAAAAAAATCAAAGTACCTCTGGGGACTCACTTGGCAGGAGCAGCTGGAAGGGAAAGCATGTGTTGGTTTCTGCTCTCTCCTCCTTTGATCTCTAAACATTTGGGAAGGAAACCTGAGTGGTTTGGAACAGTGGGGACTGAAAATGTGAGGTGCCAAGAGCCCTGAGCTCCCACCAGGCAAGCACACTCCAGGCTGTGGGCTCCTTGGCCAGAGCCCCACTTCACACACAGCACTTCGCTGTTCCCCAGCCCTGCAGGGCTCAGCAACCCCACCCCAACGCTGCCAAGCTCCTGGGGAGCCTCCCAGAATGCTAACTCCACCAAAGAAAAATTAATTCATCAGATTTATTGGAAAAGAAGCAGTCAGAGGAGGCTCCACAAGCAGCACACCAGTTGTTTGATCAGCCTGAGTGGAGGGCACAGCCCAGCCGGGGCTGAGATGAGACAGTTGGAGCCATCAGCTAAAGAGGTGTCCTGGGAGGGGTCTGTGAAATGATAATGACCAATCTCCAGGGAATTAGAGCTTGGAAAATACAAATGCGACGTGTAACATTTGTGGTTGTGCATCTGTTTTGACAGATTAAAATGTAATTCAGGACAAACCATCAGTGCCTGAAGCACTCAGCTCTCATCTTCCCACTCTGTGAACTTGATGGAGATGGGGCCGCCTGTCTGTACCTGCTGCAGCTCTCCAGGTCTCTGCAGAGCCCTCCTGCCAAGCACTGAGCAGAAACCTCCCCAGGGACCAGGCAGACTTTTTGTCTGTAGGATCTCCTGAAAGCCTTCCTAAAGACCATGTACTGCCATTTTGGGGTTTCTGTACAGGAACAACCTTTGCTTATTTCTGCACTCCCGTAAGTGCAATTGGTTTCAAGATCTTTCACTCTTCTTTTTACCTGACCACCACAAAGACCTGATGAGCTGGGCTCCATGGTGTTATCACCCAGCACAGGAGAATGGACAGGCACCTCCTCAGAAAGCCCAGTGACAGCCAAAGCTCTGAACATCTTGGCTCTCACCATTAATCTTAGAGAGAATCTTATTACCCCTTTCTGCTCCCAGCTCTGAGCCAGATCAAATGCGTGCTGTGCTCCAAGAACTGTTTTGCTGATGCTGAAGATCTCACCTGGTAAGAGGTCATCAGGTAGAGGTAAGTGGAATCAGAAGGGTCAAACTGCATGATGGGATGGACAGGCTCTCCATAAGCCACCGAGATGGATCTCCTGCTAATAACCTTCATTGTACTGTCCAGGTTAATCTGGAGAGAGAAGAGGCCACTCACTGAGACCATTTTCAAACACTAAGGGGAGAAGACTATTTCTCCTGGGTTATAAATAAAAACCAAAGTGGTATACAGCAGTGCCTCAAATTGTAAAGCACTGTGAATGTCTGCACACTTTGCAGGCTGCACACACAGAGCTTTCCTGGAAAGTCAGCTCTGTGTTACTGGGCAGGCATGGCACAGCCCAGAAAGCCCCAGCCTTGCTCAGTGAGGCAGGACCCTCACCATCCCTGGTGCCTCTGAGGGGCTGCTCTGTCTGACAGGAGGCTCTGCCCCTGCACAGCTGCGTGCACAGCAGTGTCTGTGTTACCCTCATGCAAGAGGCACCAGCCTTCACCATCACATACATACACACACTCTGGACAGAGAACACTGAGTTTCCAAAACTTAATGAAAAACAGTGAAAATCAGCAACAGAGCCGTACAGCACAGCATCTCCTGCTCCCTGCATATTTGAAAAATAAGTGTTGTCACTCCCAGCCAGAAGAAGCTTCTATCCCTGCTGGCTCCAGAAGACCATGGCAGCTGCCACAAGAGTGCCAAGTCCTACCTGGCCTCATGAATCACCAGCCGAAATGCTGGCAGTGATGGAGGAGGCTGCACAGCATCAGCTTGCCTTTCAGTTCTCTGAATGTCTTGGCATTTGACTTGAAAATTCAGTAAATTAAATGTGGCATTGCTGAGAGGAAATAACAATGGGACTACACAATTTCTCGTGACAGTCACTTTTCAGCTTAAAACAGAAAGGGAGTGAGGAAAATTCTTGCCTCCTTGCTAGCAAAGGGAGGCAGTAATTGTAATGACCAAGTGTGCCTCTGTTCTCTAAATGTGGATTAATTAATTAACATAGGTTAATTAATTCTTACACTAGAGCAGCACTGACACACCCCAGTATGACAGCACAGGCTCAGGCTTCTCACTGCTAACAAACACACGCAAACACTGAGAGCTATGCAGAAAAAGTAGGGAACTATCACTGTGTCCATTTTAAAAGCTGGCTAGCCAGAAGCTGAATTATTTCCCTGGGATCACCCAAGATGCCCATGAACATCCCTGACATTCTCCACTGCATCCTCTGTCCCTCCCTGCTGGGATGTGCTCCACGTGTGGCTTTTACAGACACCTGTGCCTGCGCCCTGAGCCTCCTGGGATGTTCACCCTGCAGCCTCTCCACCCAGACAATCTCCCTGGGTCCCAGGGGGCTGCAGGCTCTGGGGGAGAGCCCCCACAGCAGCACAGAGGGGCAGTGACCACCAGAGCACCACCAGCTGAGCAGGCTGGAGGACATGCACTGCCCTGGGTGCTGGTGGGAGCAGAGCCAGTGAAATCCTGGGTAACCCCACTACAGCACTTGTCTGCAGCCTTCCAGACCTGGACACACAGGACAGACCCCTCCTTCCCACTGGTACCCTCGAGGGCACCGAGCCCTGGTACATCTTGCCCTGGCCATGCTGCCCAGGCACTGCTGGCCCTCTCATGACTGCCACATGTGGAACTGGCCCTCACCAAATGCCTGTCTGCAGCCACAGAATCGCATTAATTCGCCATACATGCCCCTGGTACTCTAATTGCTGCTGGCACGAGCTGGGCAAGCACTATTTCTGCCCCTCTGCTGTCTTTTCTCAGGCAACAAATCTGAATGATTTGCTCACGCGAAGTGTCTTGCTTCCCGTGCCAAAGAGCAAGGAGCCCCAGAGGTTGAAGGGCTTCTGGTTGTGCAGCTGTGTTGTGGAATTAGATTACAGCTATCTGAGCAAATTATCCCGGCACAGGGTAGCCAGGAGCCTCTCCCTAATGGAGGCACTGCAGATAAGGCTGGTGTCTCGGGGATGATAATGGAGCAGAGCTGTTAATGCCGTGTGAACAGCCCGCGCTGCGTGTGGCATGTGCCCCCCAGCCCCTGCGCCTGGCCCAGCGCCAGCTCCCTCCCACCCTCCCAAATTACCTGCCCCTCTGGGCAAAAATCAAAGCACGGAGTTCCTTTGTGATTGTTCCCACATTTCTGCCAGGAGCACTTAGATGCAAGGGAAGAGACTGGGTAAGTTTTCCTCTATCCAGGTATTTTGATCCAGTATCCCACATTATGCACCAGCCCCCCCAGGCAGAGACAAGGCAGGTATCAGCTCTCTCTGCTCCAGGCCTTTCCCCCCTCTTCTCTATGGACCTGTGATACTGGCAGCTCACCAGACTGCAGTGGCTGCCTGGAATCAAAACTTTCCCTGGCAAACTTCAAGCACTAAGGCTACTGAGAGCTTGGCCTCGTGTCCTGGCTGCAGACCTGGGGCATTGCATCACTCTGCATCACCTCTGGCATGCTATTTAGAACAGACTCCACCATGGGTTCACACCTGCTGTGGATTCAGCTGTGAAGAAGAATTTCTTTGTGATTATCCTGTCTGCACGGAGTCTTCAAAATCAAGGGAGAATTTACCAGAAGAGTTTATAATAATTGTAATAACTTCAACAATTAAAATAATAACAAAATATTGTAATTAAAATTATATTGTGTATGTAATCTTACTGTTTAAAATTATATTAATATAATTAATATAATAGTTCAATACAATTAATTAATAATTCAATGCTGCGCAGTAGCATTTTCAGCTTAGGGTTCATCAAAAACATGCTGCTCACATGGCAGCCCTGAGCAGTGATTAACAGCCACCAGTGATCAGGCAGCGTCTGTCACTGTCCAGGTTATGGCAGAACCCAATTCGTCCTTCACTGCCTGAAGGAAGCAGGTACTCGAGCCAGGCAGACAAGAGCTGTCACGGTCTGGGCAGAGCAGAGCCCCGACACCCACCCTGCCCCAGTTCTGCTGACCCACGCTGCTGCTGGGCCCTACTTGCCTTCAGGAGTCCTCCACTGGCCGTGCCCAGGAACACCACGGTGTAGTTGTTGACACTGGCCACTGCCACGGCAGTGAGGCCACTGTAGGTGAAGATGGGGGTGGCTGTGACAGGGTTCACGATGGCCAGTGGGTGCTGGAGGTGCGCGGCTCCACAGTCCAGCTGCTCCGGCTGCAGCTGGGGACAGACACAAACGTCAGCAGGCTGCACAAACATCTGCACAAACATCTGTATGCGCCCTTGCCATCAGGACAGACTTCTCAGAGCCCCACTCTGCCTTCCTAGAGCCCGTCTCTGCTGGGCCATGGAACGGGAAAATGCAGCTGTCCCGCAAGGGCTGGCACGTGGGGCACAGGGCTGGCAGCAGGGCTCCACGTCCATTCACTGCCAGCTGCCAAGGGGCAAAGGCAGTGCCCAAGGATTTGTCACTGACCTGTGTCTGTGAGCAGGCTTTTGACTTGTTTGGCCAAAAGCAAGGCAACAGACTTGACTCTCCTGTGCTAAATTAATTAGTGCATTTGCTTCACGACAGCAGCATTTGCAAGTGGAACTGAAGCCTCATATTCCTCTGCCTTGCCAAGATGCACCCAAGATTTATGAACCCCTCACTCCAAATCCTCTGAGCTTCTCGTGTAATTTCTGCTCAGACAACTTGGCTGGATTTGACAATGCCTGAACCCCACAACAGTTTCACTGCCAACAATTCACCTGCAGTCACTCCTGCAGCAGCTTTTCTGGGCTGCAGCAGGTGCAGCCAGAGCCTTCAGGGCACGTTTCAAGGGCCATTACCACACCATCCACAGTGTCACCCCAGGTGTAGCCTAGGGGAGGCTGTGACCACACTGTCACACTCCTTGGCAGGGCTGGCATTCCAGCAGCAGCAGGTATCCATAGGTCACCTGCACACAACCCAAGCGTGGCTGTGGGAAGTGCCTGTACAAAACTCCAGCAAGACATGCCTGGAGGGTCGCAGCCCACACCCCAAGGACAAAGCACATTTATGCCTTTCTGAACCCAGTCATAATGCAGATAGCCCTGCCACAGAAGCTGACAGAAGTCTGAATTTAAGCAGAATAAATGCAGGGATTTGAGGCTATATCTGTCAGGGAATGGGAATGCAGTTCCCACCAGGCAAAAGGTGACCACCAGTCTGTCCAGCACAGTCCTCCCTCCCTAGGCTCCACCAGGGCTTGGATGCTAATTCTCTGGTCATCATTACTATTTCATTAGTGGAACCAGGCTAAAGCTTTGGCTCTCTTCTCTCTCCACACAGATCAGAAGATTAAAAATCTTTAGGCTTTGCAACAGGAGGGTGAGATTGGGCAGGATCTCTCTGCAGGATCATCCCACTTTGGGGTGCAACTCTTGCCTCGTGCCCATCTTCCCCCAAGCCACCACCATGTCTCTTGTTGGTGCCATACCACAGCAACACATTCCTGGGGAGGAGTGGGGAAGGAACATGCCAAACCCCAAAAGGAATGCAAAGCGATGGGGCTTTGTGTGCATAAGCAAGGGTGGTGCCCCTGCACCCTAAAGAAAACCTCACCAGGAGCTGTGGGTGCCAGCCAGCCCTTGGTGTGCTGCAGCAGCTGGTCAGCAAACAGCACGGGCTACCCAGCAGAGCAAACTCTGCACAAGAGCACCTACCCCTGACCACAGGGATCCTGCTGCTGCACACACATCCAGGGCTCACATCGCTGCTGCTGCACTAGCATAGCCACACTGCCACCAGAGACAGGCTGGGTCTTCTCCAAAAACACCCTGACCTTGGTCCCCTGTGCCCCAACAGACACCGTGGCCACCGCTGGCTGTGCCAGACTCAGAGGAACAAAGCCTGATGTGAAAAACTTCCTCTGCTCGGAGGAGTGCCAAACGGGACAGCACATCCAAAGCTGCAGCTCTGCTCTTAGGGGACCAAGACAAAAGGATCAAGTTTGTGGATGCAATGCTAAATGTATTTTGCAGTTTCACTGCATCTCATTCTAGTAAAAAGTAAAATCACAGCCCAAATTCTTAAGTGTGTATGTTTGCCCTGTAATTGGGCCACACAACTTTTTTCATGCTATACAGAGGACATGGCAAGCCATTCATGTATCCGATTTAATGACTCCTTCACAAGCAGACAGTTAGAAATTCACTAGGGTTTATTTACTTGTCTTAGGGATGATTATCTTCTCTTCATTACTCTTGAAGAATATCACCACCTAAAGCTTACAAGGCTCCGTCCTGCAGGGAAACTGAGGCACAGAGGCACCTCCAGCCACCTGGGACCCCAAGGGATGCCCAGCACCTCCTCTCTAGAGCAGCTGTGCAGGAGCTGGGACCGGCCTCACTGCCTGCCAGCCTGAAGGACATGGCCCATTCTTCTCACAGGTGGCCAAAATCACGGGAAGTCCCTTATCTGCAGCGCCTGCCTGTTTATAAATCATGCATTTCAAAGCTCATGTCAGTGCAAAGTGTTTTCCACAGTAAACAGGATATAACTATTCTAACCCAGGCAAGCTTTATTTTGGCTGTACACATCCTTCCTCTGCAACACCTTTTTTCAAATGACATCAGATCTTCCAACAAACGGATGGGTAGGAGGCTCATGGTATTTCCCTCTCCAGGTCCAAAGAAGGGATGACGTGCTGTGCTGCTGCTGCCTGCACCCCAGAGCACCAGGAGGACAGCTAGCTCCATCACTTTACAGTAAACAGGATACAGTCAAGTCACATCCTTCTGCAGGCACCAGGCAGTCACCACAGCTGGGGAATTGCACTGGATGAACGGAATAGAAAGCCATCTTCAAGGGGAAGGGGTTAAATCTCACTCTTTCTTAAATCAAGCTGGCCTATCCTGAAGTGGGAAAAGCACAAATGTTACATTTTCTTCCTAAAGCAATCTCTTTCTATAATCTGCATAAAACACCCCATGGGCATTTACTGTATTGCCTCTATTTTTCTTTGACATGCTCTGGGTACTCAGTAACTCACAGAACTGTGGGCTGATTTTAGATCTGAAACCTCCTGCCCACAAAAGGTTTTACTCTGCCACTCTGTCATTGCTGAGGAGCCTCTTGGGCCAAGCTGGGCACAGGCACAGCAGCAGCAGCTCTGCCCACACCCTGCCAGGATGAGGGGAACACGCTGCTGTGCCCCTGCACACTGCAATATGTGCTGCTGCTGCTGCTGCAGAACTTCACAAGTGATGCAAATGAATTCAAACCAAGGGGCCACAGCTAAGAGGATGGTTACTCAGATTAACCCCTGAGTGCGATTGCAGAAACAAAGTGGGACAGAGATAAAAGATTTCCAGCCACATCGGTCCTCAAGAGTTCAGCTGTCTTCACAGTGTGAGTTCAGTTCTTTATCCCAGGCCTATAAGGAGCATAAAAAGCGATTTCCCAGAATTTCCATTACAGCTCCCCAGCCCTGGGCATGCAGGATGTCCCTTCGGGAAGGAAGTCTGTTGGAAACAGAAGGAGGAAGAGGAGTGGTGAGACAGCTCTCAGGAAAACCATGAAATGCGCTGATTTCTGCATCCTGTGTTTGTGACCTTAAAAATAGTTCTCAAGCAAGGCTGGAGCTAATTTGTGAGTCAGAAGCTGCGGCGCAGAGGAAAGCCCTGAGCCCCTGCCCTCCCCAGGCCGTGCTGGCTGCGCTGCAGCAGCTCCAGAACCCGGAGTGAGAAGGGGAGCCCGGCCCCTTTCAGACTTCCTATCACAGAGGATTAAAGTGTTGGCTTCCAGCATGCCTGGAGTCCTGGGAAAATGACACAGCCAGCATCGGATAATCCGCTCCAAACTTGTTGATTTGTGGGACTTAGCCATCATCTTCATAGGCTCAAAATTTGGCAGCTGCTCCCACACAACTGACATTTTCAGGCCATTAAAAGCTGTGATAAAAGGGCTCTAGTTTTATCTCTTGCCTTCCTTAACATAAACCATTAGGCTTTTATTAACATTTAGGTATGACTCAGGGAAATTTCTGACTGCAGAGAGAATAATCAGAATAATCGGGATAGTGTCTGAAGAGAATAGCAGGACACAGACTCGCACTGAACAGCAGAGAGAGGCTAAAAACCAGGGGAAATATTGCATAGGAGAGTGGACAAAGCCAGCGATGCCAAGCCAGCCTGGCTGCATTATGCTAAGGGAAAGTACAAGCCCTGCTCTGTGTCAGGCAGAGCCCAGACCAGCCACACACCCCCAGCATTCCCCCCGAGCTCCCCTGTCCCCCAGCAGTTTGTACACACAATCACTCATTTATCTGCTGCAGTGTCGCAACCAGACCTGTCAAAACCAGGCTTTTTGGGATGCCTGGAGGAAAATGTCATCCTCAGAAGAGGACTCCACTGTTGAGGCACTTGAGATGTAAGCAGTCTCCAGCTGCAGTGCTGCTCAAGGGCAGGCATTAGCACAGAGCTCCTCAGACTTCCCATTATATTTTTTAGGCAACAGGAGGCAAATCCATGTGCACTTGTGGCTGAGAACCTCCGGACAATTTTTTTCTCAAGAATTACCAACAGCACAGGATACATGCAGCGCAGCAGATATTCTTAAAAAAACAAAAAAAGGCTTAAAGTGAGACTTGCACTCTGGTTTCACTGTTTGCTTAGACCACAAATTCCTCAAGAGAGGAGGCAGCAATTTTGCTGTGTTTTG